AGACCATAAGAGATGAGGAAGGACACTATATCATACTTAAAGGGTCTATCCAACAAGAAGATCTAACTATTTTAAATATCTATGTCCCTAACATGGGAGCAGCTAATTATATAAGCCCATTAATAACAAAATCAAAGAAACACATTGACAACAATACAATAATAGTAGGGGACTTTAACGCTCCCCCCACTGAAATGGACAGATCATCTAAGCAAAAGATCAAAAAGGAAATAAAGGCTTTAAATGACACACTGGACCAAATGGATATATTCAGAACATTCCATCCTAAAGCAACAGAATACACATTCTTCTCTAGTGCACATGGAACATTCTCCAGAATAGATTACATCCTGGGTCACAAATCAGTTCTCAACTGGTAACAAAAGATTGGGATCATTCCCTGCATATTTTCAGACCACAATGCTTTGAAACTAGAACACAAAAGGAAAGGTGGAAAGAACTCAAATACATGGAGGCTAAAGAGCATCCTACTAAAGAATGAATGGGTCAACCAGGAAATTAAAGAAGAATTAAAAAAATTCATGGAAACCAATGAAAATGAAAACACAACTGTTCAAAATCTTTGAGATGCAGCAAAGGCGGTCCTAAGAGGAAAGTATATAGCAATACAAGCCTTTCTCAAGAAACAAGAAACATCTCAAATACACAACCTAACCCTACACCTACAGGAGCTGGAGAAAGAACAGAAAATAAAGCCTAAACCCAGCAGGAGAAGAGAAATAATAAAGATCAGAGCAGAAATCAATGAAATAGAAACAAAAAGAACAGTAGAACAGATCAATGAAACTAGGAGCTGGTTCTCTGAAAGAATTAATAAGATTGATAAACCCCTGGCCAGACTTATCAGAAAGAAAAGAGAAAAGGACCCAAATAAATAAAATCATGAATGAAAGAGGAGAGATCACAACCAACACCAAAGAAATACAAACAATCATAAGAACATATTATGAGCAACTATATGCCAACGAATTAGACAATCTGGAAGAAACGGATGCATTTCTAGAGATGTATCAACTACCAAAACTGAACCAAGAAGAAACAGAAAGCCTGAACAGACCCATAACGAGTAAGGAAATTGAAGCAGTAATCAAAACTCTCCCAACAAACAAGAGCCTAGGGCCAGATGACTTCCCAGGGGAATTCTACCAAACATTTCAAGAAGAATTAATACCTATTCTTCTGAAATTGTTCCAAAAAATAGAAATGGAAGGAAAACTTCCAAACTCATTTTATGAGGCCAGCATTACCTTGATACCCAAACCAGACAAAGACCCCATCAAAAAGGAGAACTACAGACCAATATCCCTGGTGAACATGGATGCAAAAATTCTCACCAAAACACTGGCCAATAGGATCCAACAGTACATTAAAAGGATTATTCACCACGACCAAATGGGATTTATCCCTGGGCTGCAAGGTTGGTTCAACATCCATAAATCAATCAATGTGACACAATACATTAATAAGAGAAAGAACAAGAACCATATGATTCTCTCCCTAGATGCAGAAAAAGCATTTGACAAAATACAGCATCCTTTCTTGATTAAAAACTCTTCAGAGTAGGGATAGAGGGTACATACCTCAATATCATAAAAGCCATCTATGAAAAACCCACAGCGAGTATCATTCTCAATGATATTCTGAGAAACTGAGAGTTTTTCCTCTAAAGTCAGGAACACGGCAGGGATGCCCACTATCACCACTGCTATTCAACATAGTATTAGAAGTCCTAGTCACAGCAATCAGACAACAAAAAGAAATAAAAGGCACCCGAATCGGCAAAGAAGAAGTGAAACTCTCACATTTTGCAGATGATACGATACTTTATGTGGAAAACCCAAAAGACTCCACCCCAAAACTACTAGAACTCATACAGGAATTCAGTCAAGTGGCAGGATATAAAATCAATGCACAGAAATCAGTGGCATTTCTATACACCAACAACGAGACAGAAGAGAAATTAAGGAGTCGATCTCATTTACAATTGCACCCAAAACCATAAGATACCTAGGAATAAATCTAACCAAAGAGGCAAAGGATCTGTACTTAGAAAACTATAAAATACTCATGAAAGAAATTGAGGAAGACACAAAGAAATGGAAAAACGTTCCATGCTCTTGGATTGGAAGAACAAATATTGTAAAAATGTCTATGCTACCTAGAGCAATCTACACATTCAATGCAATCCCCATCAAAATACCATCCACTTTTTTCACAGAAATGTAACAAATAATCCTAAAATTTGTATGGAACCAGAAAAGACCCCAATAGCCAGAGGAATATTGAAAAAGAAAAGTAAAGCCTGTGGCATCACAATTCTGGACTTCCAGCTCTATTACAAAGCTGTCATCATCAAGACAGTATGGTACTGGCACAAAAACAGGCACATAGATCAATGGAACAGAATAGAGAGCCCAGAAATGGACCCTCAACTCTATGGTCAACTAATCTTTGACAAAGCAGGAAAGAATGTCCAATGGAAAAAAGACAGTCTTCTTCAACAAATGGTGTTGGGAAAATTGGATAGCCACATGCAGAAGAATGAAACTGGACCATATTTCCTTACACCACACACAAAAATAGACTCAAAATGGATGAAAGACCTAAATGTGAGACAGGAATCCATCAAAATCCTTGAGGACAACACAGGCAGCAACCTCTTTGACCTCAGCCACAGCAACTTCTCCCTAGACACATCACCAAAGGAAGGGAAGCAAGGGCAAAAACGAACTATTGGGACTTCATCAAGATAAAAAGCTTTTGCACAGCAAAGAAAACAGTCAACAAAACCAAAAGACAACCGACAGAATGGGAGAAGATATTTGCAAATGACATATCAGATAAAGGGCTAGTATCCAAAGATCTATAAAAAACTTACCAAACTCAACACCCAAGGAACAAATAATCCAATCAAGAAATGGGCAGAAGACATGAACAGACATTTCTGCAAAGAAGACATCCAAATGGCCAACAGACACATGAAAAAGTGCTCAACATCACTCGGCATCAGGGAAATCCAAATCAAAACCACAATGAGATGCCACCTCACACTAGTCAGAATGGCTAAAATTAACAAGTCAGGAAACGACAGCTGTTGGCGAGGACACAGAGAAAGGGGAACCCTCTTACACTTTTAGATGGGAATGCACGCTGATGCAGCCAGTCTGGAAAACAGTATGGAGGTTCCTCAAAAAGTTGAAAATAGGGACGCCTGAGTGGCTCAGTTGTTAAACGTCTACCTTTGGCTCAGGTCATGATCCCAGGGTCCTGGGATCGAGCCCTGCATTGGGCTCCCTACTCCGCGGGAAGTCTGCTTCTCCCTCTCCCACTCCCTCTGCTTGTGTTCCCTTTCTCGCTGTGTCTCTCTCTGTCAAATAAATAAAAAATAAAATCTTAAAAAAAAAAAAAGTTGAAAATAGAGGTACCCTATGACCCAGCAATTGCACTACTGGGTATTTACCCCAAAGATACAAATGTAGTGATCCGAAGGGGCATGTGCACCCCAATGTTTATAGTAGCAATGTCCACAATAGCCAAACTATGGAAAGAGCCTAGATGTCCATCAACAGATGAATGGATAAAGAAAATGTGGTATATATATGTGTGTGTGTCTATATATATATATATATATATATATATAGACACACACACATATATATAGACACACACACACACAATAGAATATTATGCAGCCATCAAAAAATGAAATCTTGCCATTTGCAATGATGTGAATGGAACTAAAGGGTATTATGCTAAGCGAAATAAGTCAATCAGAGAAAGACAAGTATCATATGATCTCACTGATATGTGGAATTTGAGAAACAAGGCAGAGGATCATAGGGGAAGAGAGGAAAAAATGAAAGATGACGAAACCAGAGAGGGAGACAAACCATAAGAGACTCTTAATCTTAGGAAACAAACTTAGGGTTGCTGGAGTGGAGGGGGGTGGGAGGGATGGGATGGCTGAGTGATGGACATTGGGGAGGGTATGTGTTATGGTGAGCACTGTGAATTGTGTAAGACTGATGAATCACAGACCTGTACCCCTGAAACAAATAATATATTATATGTTAATAAAAAAAAGATAAGTAAGAATGTAGCAGAGAAGAGGATAAGGAGGTGGGAGGAGAGGAGACAGATACATAGAGAAAGTAAGACAAAATTAATGACATTTTGGGGAATGGAGAGCCTAGTCAGAGGTTAGGGTACATGGTTAGAAGTTTTTGGAGACACTGGAAATGTAGGTCAAAAATGAATTCTGATGGAACCAGTACAGAAATTCAAATAGTATGGATTTTATTTTAAGGCCCCAAGTTGTCAATCATGTCACTAGACACTGGTGTGTAAAAGATTAAAAACAATATACATTTTTATTTCGTTTCTTGAAATAAAGACTAATGACTTCTGAATAGGTGGAAATGTGGTTTTTTTACAATATCTGAAAAATTCTCACCCATTTTTGTCCTTGGATACTCTCTCTCCTACTCAGTTTGTTCTCTCCTTCTAGAACTTTAATACTGGGCCTCTCTCTATAGATATACGATAGAGAGAATGTTGAATCAATTTGAATCAATTGAATCAATGATAGGGAGAACACTAAATCAATTTTAAATCATTACAATTTAAGTTATTTGCAAGCTTTAACCTTAGGTATATACTAAATGTAAAAGATCATTATTCACTATCTCATTCTAGATCTGTTACTATAAAGATGAATTAATTCTCTTAGCACCTTAGGGTACATATCCAAATTTAGTGTCAAGCACACAGGTATTTCTCAAGTACTTTTCACCTAATCCTAATCCATATTCTTAACTTTCAGGCCTTAATTACTTTCTTGTTCAAGTTCTGGAATGAAATATAAATAATGATACATTGCCATTAAAATGTGTGAGTACAGTGCAATTAAAACTCAGATTAACACACTCCCTTAGGACAGAGTTATTTTTAAAGTTTCTGTATTCAGGGGGACCACTTACCTATGATGAGCCTGTGAAGAGCACCCTTATCTCCATTAATAGCTGCAGCATGAACTTGGGATGCTAATGAGGAGCCAGGAAAGAACAAGTTCTCTGACCTGTTCATAGTCTTCTCAACGCCTGGAGCACCCTGAAACAATGATTTAAACCATGACTATATGCAGAAAACATTTCTGAAAGCTGTCTCATCAGTCTTAAGTGGATATATTCTAAATATGGCTGAATAGAAGTATTTGATGAGGTGGGGCACCTGGGTGGCTCAGTCGGTTAAATGTCTGCCTTCAGCTGAGGTCCTGATCCCAGGGTCCTGAGATGAAGCCCCACATCGGGCTCCCTGCTCAGTGGGGAGTCTGCTTCTCTCTCTGACCCTCTCCCCTCTCATGCTCTCTCTCACTCTCTCTGTCAAATAAATAAATAAATAAAATCTTAAAAAAAAATAAGTATTTGACTAGGATTCAAAAAGTCTGCAGTCCTCGTCCTACCTAGAATTGCCATAATGTGGCAAATTAGATGACCCTTTGAACAGTTGCTCATCTGTAAAATGAGAGGGTTGGATGCTTCTAAGACTCTTACTAGGGGTTATCTTTTTTTTTTTTTTTAAGATTCCATTTATTTATTTGACAGAGACAGGGAGAGAGGGAACACAAGCAGGGGGAGTAGGTGAGGGAGAAGCAGGTCTCCTGCTGAGCAGGAAGCAGGATGCAGGGCTCAATCCCAGGATCCTGGGATCATGACCCAAGTTGGAGGCAGATGCCCAAGACTGAGCCCCCCAGGTGCCCCAATATCAGGGGTTATCTGAGGAAAAAAGGGAGGCTCAGTATTTAACCTTAGGCACAGGGCTCAAAAGCTACAGTGACTTCTAAAAAAAAAAATTATTTATTTATTTATTTGAGAGAGAGAGTGAGAGCGAGAGAGATCATGGAAGGAGAGGGAGAAGCAGACTTGTCACTGAGCAGGGAGCCTGATGTGGGGCTTGATCCCAGGACCTGGAGATCAGGACCTGAGCCAAAGGCAGATGCTTAATCAATTGAGACACCCAGGCGCCCCAAGCCACAATGGCTTCTGATTTGATTCCACATAATACTAACATCAGAACTGAAACTGGGAATAAAGATGATGAACCAGCCACAAAACGGGTATGATGTGAACTTAACTGTCAGGTCAGAATCAACTAAATTTAAGTGCTAAATTAAAAGGTACTTAGTATAAATAAATAAATAAATAAATAAATAAATAAATAAATAAATAAATAAATACCTAGTACTTAGTTCTCTCTCTCATGCTGACAAAAGGAAGAATTTTTATTTGTTCCCTCCTATGTCTCTTGACCTTAGGATTTTACTTGGAAAACTACATCATTAGGATCAACCATATTTCATTGGAAAGATTTTGTTCTGACTGGTAGTCTGATAGGGTTTGCTAGAACCTTCTAGAAATGCATTAGCTGCATAGAAAAACAGTGAGTTCTCCAGCATAAGCCTATTGTAGCAGAGGCTGGATTATGTCAGAAATGCAGCATGAAGAATTCAAGCACCTGTTGGGAAGGACAAAGGGGTAGTTGCATCAATGATCTTAAAATTCCTTCCTAAAGGTAAGATGCTGTATCAAAGTTGAATGCCTCCAAGGACCTGGGAGGTAAAAAGTGTAAGAAACAAAGGGAGTCATGGGGAGCGTGGCAAACTGGAGCAAACATGCATATCTAAAGAAAGCAGCTGCTAATCAGCTAGTTAACAGCTGCCAGAAGGGCAGACAAGCCCTCTTCTAAGTTCACCAAAAAAGTGTCAGTCCAATCTCTGACTCTGGAGAATTTGGGAGCTTTGTAGGAGAAATTTATCACTACCAATGAGCTAGCACTTGTGTTGTCATTGACAAGCATTATTGGTTCAAATTCTGCCTTAAAGTGAAAGTGTTTTCTTAATTTTGGTAAAGGTCAACTCTTCATGTCTTTATTTTGCTGACAATTTGAGTTAATACGCTGGCAGAAAATATGGGCTTTGGGAGACACTTCTGTCAGAAAAACTACTGTCACAGGCAGGATTATGTTAAAGTGAGTTGAAAGAAGCTACAGGGGCGCCTGGGTGGCTCAGTTGGTTAAGCGACTGCCTTCGGCTCAGGTCATGATCCTGGAGTCCTGGGATCGAGTCCCACATCGGGCTCCCTGCTCGGCAGGGAATCTGCTTCTCCCTCTGACCCTCCTCCCTCTCATGTTCTCTGTCTCTCATTGTCTCTCTCACAAATAAATAAAATCTTAAGAAAAAAAATTAAAAAAAAAAAAAAGAAAGAAGCTACATAACAGGTGGAGGTAGAAACACGGGAAAGTAGGAATTGCAGGAGGGCTCTAGGCCTGATTCCGTTAATAATAAGCAGCATGCCCTTAGGCTACCTCAGTTCTCTGATTTTCTGTAAAATATGAACAATGAAATAGGTAGACTATGTTGATTCAATAAGTTGAGTGCTATGTGCTAACATCTGTTCTGAACTCTAAAACATGTGATTTCAGATTTTAAGTGATAGAGTTTTAGGCATATCAGAATCACACACACACACAAACCTCTTCATAACCTTTGAAAAATATACTAAAGTTTGATCTCTATATACATTTCACCTCATAATTGTTAGCACAGTAACAGGTACATAGCTGGTATCAGTAAATATTTGTCCAGGGAAAAGTCACAGGCTGAGTGCTAAGTCCAGATGGCAAGCAGGATCAAAGTTTAATTTCTTGGACTAAAGAGGTCATACTCATGAGCATCTGCTCTTTAATTCCCCATTTCTGTCTCTTCTGTTGGAGAGGTAGTGAGCGGTCTAGAGATAAGAACACAAGACTAGAAGAGAGAGACCTAACTAAAAGTCTTGGCTCTACCACTACCTAATTTTGCCACCCTGGGAAAAGTGCAAACTGGAGCAAACATGCATATCTAAAGAAAGCAGCTGCTAATCAGCTAGTTAACAGCTGCCAGAAGGGCAGACAAGCCCTCTTCTGATTTCACCAAAAAAGTGTCTGTCCAATCTCTGACTCTGGAGAATCTGGGAGCTTTGTAGGAGAAATTTATCACTACCAATGAGCTAGGGTCCTTTTCTAGCTCAAAAAAGCATACACACACACACACACACACACACACACGGTGATTTTTTTTTTTGTAAATAATTTTTATAGATGAACAGCAAAACCACGTTGTTAATTATAAAGTGCTATAAAATGTACAGATATCATTAATTATAAAACCAGCCAGTGAAATAAATGCTCTAATAATTGTAACTAGTACAAAACTAGTGGTGCGGCAGTCACAAGCAAAGGAAGAGTCATTCTGATCAGGACTAAAGGGTTGTTTTTTTGGGAAGTCCTCAGAGATGGTGACATTTGAGATGGCATTCCAGATAGAGAAGGGGCTAAGGCCATTCCATGGCAGCAGGAAAGCTAGAGCACAGGCAAGGAGTAGGGAGAACCTCAAAAAGAATGCCTCTCAAGTAGTTAGCACTGATTGTGTGGCTAATATTTGGGACACGTGGACCTGGCTCGGTGTTTGCAGATGAGGCTGGGGAGCTAACTAGGGCCAGATTAAGATCCTCAATTGCTTGGCTAATGAATTTCGTAATTATCCTGTGGGAGTGATCCATGCATTAGTAGCAATCACAGTCGCACTGAGCTTTTCAGTTTACAACGTGCTTTCCCATTTTATCCCATATCTACTCCCTACACGAGCCCACAGAGACAATTACGGATAAGTCATCGACTCATTCAACTGAGGCCCTGAGAGGTGGCTCTGACTTTATAATGCAGTAATTAGTGCAGAAAGAAGAGGCAGCAGGTGAGGAGGCTAGTGATGAAGACTCAGGCCACAACCCAGGCCAGGAGGGCCTGGAGTTTGAGGCAGGGGCCAAGGCAATGCAGATCGATCGGAGCTTCCCCAGCCAGGCCCCTTCCTACTCACCCTCGCCTCCTCCAGGACTCACGTCCCGGGGACGGCTCCAGGAGGCACGACCCCCAGTGGGCCGCCCCTCCCGCCAGGACAGTACACTACATCCGGCTGGGAGATCCCCCCGCACGCTGAAACTAGAAGAACCCCTTCGAAGGCCGCCCGAGACGCTCGATCGCACTGCTCTCTGGGAATTGTAGTTCCCATCCTCTAAAAACAGAGGTTCACTGCCCCCCGCCCTTTCTATCCCACAGGACCCCGCGCGCGGAGGACTCGGTGGACCTGGGCCGAGAGCCTGATGGGAAAGAAGTTCTGGATGCCCGATGACGTACTCAGTGAAAGTGGTGCAGGACCACATTTCCCAATATGCTCCGAGGTGGGCAGGACCCGGAAGTGAGGGTGTGCGAGGCCTCTCTGGAAGTTGTCCCGGGTGTTCGCTGCTGGAGCTCCGGGTCCAGAGGACGAGGTGCCGCTGCCGGGAGGATCGTCCGCTGCCGCCGGCTCCCGGAGCCCAGCCCTTTCCTAACCCAACCCAACCCTGCCCAGTCCCAGCCGCGAACCCCGGCGTTACCATGAGTCCTGCCGTCTTCCTATCCTTACCCGACCTCAGATGCTCCCTGCTGCTCCTGGTGAGTGAGTGAGTGAAGGAATGACAGACCCTTCGACAGACTCTCGGACGGCCTCACGCCCTCGCTAAGGGAGAACGCAGCTGCTCCCACCCTTGCCTTCCTATCTTTTCCTCCGGTAGCGAGGAGTGCACCCTCCCCCGCTGCCTTCACTCCCCGCATCCGTCTATACGCTTCCCAGGCCTGGGGTACCCGAGGCCTGAGAAACCACGGTCGGAGGTTGGGACCTGTAAACTGGAGAATTAGCCGTGGGGGAAGGATTCGTGGGAGGGTCACGGGCGCGGAGCTCTCCCTTCTCCCAGACTAACGGAGGTTGTTTCAGGCTCGAGGGCTCATGGACCTGGTGGTAGCTTCAATCGAAAAAGACGGGAGAGAGACCTACTGTTTCCTCCCACCCACTCCTTTTGGGAAGGCCGACAGGTGCTGGGGTCCTGTGAATCTCACACTAGAGCTCTGAAACGGTGCCCGGTTTGGCAGAGCCCTCTGTTGTGGCTTGATGCGATTGGTTGGGAACCCGGAACTGGAGGCAGATTTGGAGTCCACCCGGGGAATAAAGGATTGAAGGGTGGAGACAGTGATTATCTGAAAACCTCCGCTCAAGGTTTCCCTTAGATTTTGTCACATATCCCCCTTCCCGAAATTTAAGCAGAATTTTCGGTGCTCCGGATTTGAGAATGACCAGGTCTTCTGCATACATTCGCATTCATTCCTAAACCCCCTCACTTGCTGGGCTCCATCCCATCGTATAAAGGAATCTTTCCCCAGTCCCTTTTCCTCCAAAGTACCTCTCGAATGTGCAACCTAAGTAATTCAGGCTGCAGGTCAAATTGAGACAAAAGTGAAGGACGGACTCCATATGGCAATGACGTACCTTAAATTGAGCCGTTATTATCATACAATATTTGAAAATACTTTAATTGTAGTAGATTTTGAAAATCGAATTTAAGATGAACATTAAGTCAAAATCACTTTTTTTTTTTTTTACAATTTAAAAAGCATAATTAAGTGACTCACAGAGAGTCATATAACTAGCTGGTTACTGGCAGAACTGGGACTTCAAGCCCGTCTCTTGACTTGCATTGCTTATTCCACCATGGCTTGTTAAATTTTTGATATTTGTATTTGTAATTTTTAGTTTCTTTCTCCCCCTCCTCCCCCTTTTTTCTTCTCTCCCCTCTCTCCCTGTTTTTTCTTTCTGATTTGCAAGTCCTATTAAAAAGCCATATACAGTATTTGGATCTTTTTAGAGAAGAAGCACTATGAAAAACTAAAGGGGATGTCAAAGTACTTTGAGAACCAAGAGTTGAATATAAACATGTAATAGTAAATGATGATGTGTCTTATTGACATTTCTTATACAGCAGTGAGTGACTTCTGCATAGAGGGAAATATTCTGTAGAGAGCTCTTTTTGGTAATTTCATTAATACACTGTGCTTCTCTTTTCCTTCTAGAAGTACTGGGATAAAGGTCATTATTATTAGAGACTACTCTCACTTTAAAGATAATAGATATTAATCTTTTCCCTATCCATAAAATGATAAAATAGTCTGAATTGTGAGTTGTCTGCTAGAAATTACTTTTAGGTAACAAAAAACAAAAACAAAAAAGTCAACCAAAAAGACAGAGGACAAAAATTTTAAGACATTAGAAAAGCTGAAATACTGAATAGGAAAACTACATCAGATGCACTTCCCTGGAATGGTGTGTTTGGTTGTAGAACTTAGTTTAAGAAGGAGAAAATATTTATTTTGAAATAACTCATACTTTTTATAGAAAACCTACAAATCCATTAAGTATAAAAAGATTTCCCTAATAATTCTAAAGTCTAATTAACAATTTGTATATCTAAGTAAATGTAGAGGAATAGAGACTTAGAAGACATTTTAGAGAATACTTATAAAGTTAATGGGCTGGAAAATAAAACCCAAGAAAAGGTTTAATAAACCAGAATTACAAGTCAAGCTAGATTCAGTTTGAACACAGTGTTTACCAAAGCAGTTTTAATTATCATAGACTAGTTAACAAATACTTATAAAACATCTGTGTAATCACTACTTGAGTTATCTAACTGGTCATTCTGTCCTAGTGGTGGAACCTGCTTCGTCAGCATCCCACCTGTCTAAAAATATATCCTTTATCTTCCCCAATGTACTTTTCTTCCTCCTCCCTCCAACTTCCCCCCTCAAACTTCAGGTTACTCCCTCCCACATACAGTCATTGAATATCCAAGTTCCCACCTAGCTGAGGTCATCATTTTTCCCGCAAATGGCCTGCCCTAAAAAGCCATATGTTCTCTTACTACAATTTTTTTTTTTTTTCAGGCAAACTGTACCTCAGCCCTAAAGAACAAAATCTGTTCAGAGTTAGTGGTGTTCATAAGATAATAGCTGAAACATAAAATCCTTAAACGTTGTAGAAAAATATTTTTCTTTTCCCTGATCTCAAAAACATTTTGGAACCATAGCACTGTATGCCTAAAAAGCCTTTCTGGGATGAGTAACTAAACACACTTTTTTCCTGGGCTTTCATATATATTTCGTATTTGTATTTATGTATTATATATATATATATATATATATAAATGTGTATGTCTGTATTTAAAATCAAGGTCTTAGAGAATGAGATCTTTTATTTCGGGGTTGTTTTAGAAAATACCCCCATTGCCTTTAAATTATTTTAAAACTCCACTGAATTTGCAGTATGCCTTGGACAAAATGAGGTAGTCTAGATGCACTGATTTAGGATAAATCAGGAGAGAAATTTGAGTCACCTGGCAAATGCAGTGAGGCTTTACAGCTCTTCATACCTTTTCTGTACTTCACTATGTATTTTGTGTCTGCTGTGGTTTGGGTTGATTCATTGAATGTGTGTTTACAACTTTAGTTCTGAACTTTATATAATCTGTGCCCCCCTCCTGTTCATCATATTTTGTGGATGATTTGAATGCTGGAGATAGCAGTGATTCTCTGTTGCAGCTCTGTGTATATAATACCTGGATTGGGAAATTGCTTGTAGTTGTGTGTGCTTTTTTTTTTTTTTGGAAGAAGGCTATGGTGGGCGGGGGCAGAAGAGAGGGCAGAGCTAGAGAGAGAGAATCTTAAGTAGGCTCCACACCCAGTATGGAGCCAGATGCTGGGCCCGATCTCACGACCTTGAGATCATGACCTGAGCTGAAATCAAGAGTGGGATGCTTAACCAGCTGAGCGACCCAGGCCCCCCTCATTTTCTTTTCTTGTTATTTATTGTTGAGGAAACTGGGTCCTCTGTCATTCAGAATTTCCCATATTCAGATATTGCTGATGGTATCCTTGTGTATGGTTTTATGTTTCTTTCTTCCTTGTGTTTCCTATAAATTTGTAACTAAATTTATGTGGTCTCAACCACCAACTCAGTGTATAGTTCATTTAGCTTTCATTTTGTAGTTTTCAAAAACTTACCTTCTAGTGTATAATTATGTAAAATTTACTGCTTCCAAAACCAAATCTATAAAGCAAACTATTTGGACGAATCTAGCTTCTATTCCTGTCTGTTATGTTCTTATCCCTCCTAATATAAGAAACTTTAAAATTTTTTTTTAAAAGAGTAGGCAGTCTGCTTGTATGTATATGTTTCTCCCTCTTCTCCTGTAAACCATAGCATATTATTATGCTTTACTTTTTTTTCTTTTTCAACCTAAAAGTGTATGTAAGTGTTAAATCACTAAGTTGTACACCTGAAACTATTACTCTGTATGTTAACTAACTGGAATTTAAATAAAAACTTAAAAAAAAAGTGTACCTTAGAGATCAGGATAGAAATATCCCTTATTTCTTCTTAAACTGCTTATTGCTTCACTTGCTAGATGTACCAAATCCACTCTTGTTTCCATTCTTCTGCTGTGACAAATAGTTCTGCAAAGATTATCTGGCGCATGCATGTTTTTGCTAGTGTATCTTTGAGATAGACTCCTGTAATTGAAGTTGCTAAGGCAAAGGGTAAATGTATATGTAACTTTGTAGCTCTTGCTAGATTCTGCAAAATTCCTCTCCATAGAAGTTTTGCCAATTTGTGTTCTTACCAACAGTGTAACAAGATTTCCTTATATCCTTGTTAACAAGGTATGATGTGGACAGATAGGGTGTTTGTCAATCTGATAGGTGAAAAATAGTATCTCATTGCATTTTTATTTGATTGTCTTTTAAAATGAGTGTGATTGAGCTTTTTTATGGGTAAAGGCCATTTGCATTCAAGTTCTTAACTTATTATTTCTTTAGTTGATTCTATGATGTCGCTAGATTGAGAGGCACGGGAATATACGACCCTCTCAGAATTCAGTAATATTTCTGGTGGTTTAAAACTTGTAAAAACCTTGAAGAAGATGTCTGATTGCTGCAGTTATTGAAAACTTTTTTCTAGGGGCGCCTGAGTGGCTCAGTTGGTTAAGCAGCCAACTCTTGATTTTGGCTCAGGTCATGATCTCAGGGTCATGGGATTGATCCCTGCTCCCCCCACCCCCCCAGTCTGATTTCACTCTCAGTGGGGAGTCTCCTCACAGTCCCTTTCTCCTTCTGCCCCTCCCCCCTGCTCCCTAGT